CATAAAGCATCATATGCATCCACTAACCATTTCAAGGGTTTGGATCTTCATCTTTGTTCTTGTTTTGTAGGTCATGGAAATTCTTTGCAGGAAAACTGTCCAAGTCAACCTTGTGAGAATCCCTCCTCAACTCAAGGAGCTTACATCCAGAATTCCAGAAAGTTCTCTCTTCAGTGAAAGACATGGTAGACTTCTCAGCCTAGTCAACACCAGCATTGAAGAAGACATGGTGAAAGTGTTGTTCCAGTTCTTTGACCCCCTTCACCACTGTTTCACCTTTCCCGACTACCAATTGGTGCCTACTTTGGAGGAATTTTCTCAACTCCTGAGAATTCCTATTCTTAATCAACTACCCTACAACGGTACGGAAAAAGAACCAAAGCCTGAAGATGTTGCTCAAGCACTACACTTGCAACCATCTGACATCAAGGGGCATTGGGAAACCAGAAGCGGTGTCAAGGGCTTCTTGGCAAAGTTCTTGTTTGAGAAGGCACAAGAGTGTTTGAATTCTTTGGATCTACAAGCCTTTGAAGAAATTGCAGCACTCCTTATTTATGGGTTGTCTTGTTCCCAAATCCTGACCAACTTATAGATGTGAATGCTGTCAAGATCTTCATATCCAGGAATCCCATACCTACATTGCTTGGGGACATCCTCCACTCATTTTACACACGAACAATGATGAAGAGAGGTTTTCTCATGTGTTGTACTCCTCTCCTTGCAAGGTGGTTTATTTCTCACCTTCCACAATCTGTTTTGAAGAATGAATAAGGCTTGAGGTGGTTGCAACGATTGATGACCCTCACACATTCTGATGTACATTGGTGTTCTCGGTCCAGAGAAAATGTCATCATCATCGATCATTGTGGTGAGTTCCCTAATGTTCCATTACTTGGCATTAGGGGAGGCATTACCTACAACCCCTGTCTAGCTTTGAGACAATTTGGATATGCACGGAGGGATGGCCCTCATGACATGCTGATTCCTGACCTAGTTTTTGACTTCGACAACGATGCGCAAGGACTTCTCCAAAGATTCATCAGAGCTTGGAGGATGCCTAACAAGGTAGATAGCAAGACACTGGGGCACAAGAACTCCATTCCTCTTGAGCCTTACCTCAAGTGGGTACGAACACGCGCCCAGAGTCTTATGATGTCTTATCCTCACATTCTCCCTTTGATCAAAGAGCTTGTTAAGGAAGGAGAGGTTCCATACACCATCCTACATCCTGACATGCCAACATCATGGGAGGAAATGCAGAAGAGTTGGATCCAACTCAAGGAAGAAAGGGATACTTTTGAAGCCAGCTTCTACGCCAGTGAGAAGAAGGTTTTGGAGCTTACCCGTCGACTTCACGAGGAGGAGACCCTCAACACTTACATCGCACCAAAGAGGATGCGCAACGTATTTTTACCTTAAGAAGTTTTTGTAATATTTGGCCCATGGGGCATTTATGTACTGACAAAATTTCTTCTTATTAATATGACGTGTGTTCTTTTTGTCTGCAACAATTGTGAATTTCTAAATCCTTGAATGCATTACATGAATAAACATATCATTCATCATATGCATAAATAGGTCTTCACACCAGGTTTCCTTAGCTTTCTGCTGTTTATTTCAGTAAGATGGATATCGAGCAGACGATCAAAGATCTGCAGGCACAAAACTCGCAGTTTCAACAGCTCCTTATGACCTTGGCAAAGGGTCAGGAGGATCTTAAAGCACTGTTAGGGAATAAAGAGCAAGAAAAAGGAAAAAAGAAGAAGAAAAGAGTTGGGGTAGCTACACTGGGAAGAAGATTTGAGAATGAAGCTAGGAGAGTTCTTGAATTCCCCTCCACATCTGATGAGGGGACCGGCAAAGGAAAAAGGGTTGCATTACCTTCTGAGTCCGAGGCTGAAGAGGAAGAGGTTGAGGAAGATGAAGATTATTCAGAGCAGTAATACCCACCAGCGGACGATAGATATAAAAACTTGGAGGATAGACTGGTAGCCATGGAGTTGCAACGGGTTCCCGGGCTAGATTTTGAAGAATTGGGATTGAGGTGCCAACTTTTGCAAAATACGACGGTCTGTCTTGCCCGAAGATGCACCTGAGGTCGTATGTCAGAAAAATTCAACCTCATTCATCCGATAGAAATCTTTGGGTACACTTCTTCTAGGACAGCCTGTCTGGTACACAGCTAGATTGGTTTTACCAGCTTGAGAGGTCAGAAGTGCATAACTGGGAAGACTTGGCAGCTGCATTCTATCGCCAGTATCAATACAACTCCGACTTGGCGCCAACCTGTACTCAGCTACAAGGTATGGGGATGGCCTCAAATGAGGGATTCAAAGAATACGCCCAGAAATGGCGTGACTTGGCCGGAAGAGTACAACCACCGCTTTCAGATAGGGAGCTAGTGGATATGTTCTTGGGGACCTTATCTGGCCCTTTCTTCAACCATTTGATCGGGAGCTCTTCTGCGGGGTTTACCGAACTGATTCTGACTGGCGAACGGGTGGAAGCTGGTATTAAGAGCGGAAAGATTCAAAGGGATGCCTCTGCATCCACAGCTGTTAAGAAACTGTTCCCGGCCAAGAAGGAAGAAGCTGTTGTGTAATCTCAGAAAGGATTGGGAAGAACTGAGCGTCGGCCGACTGTGGGGGCCGTGATGATTCAAAAGTCGTCAAATGATCAACCTCGTAACAATCAGTCTAGACCTAGTCAGCAACGGGTAGAACGACCACAACGACAGTTCACCCGCATCAACATGACACCTGCGCAAGTTCTTCCCCATTTGTTGAAGCTAAATCTCACCAGTATTAGAGAAGCGCCAAAGATTATGAATACCACTTCCCCACATTATCATCCCAACGCAAAGTGTGCCTATCATTCTGACAGCGTCGGGCATGACACCAATGATTGCTGGGCGCTTAAGAATAAAATTCAAGATCTGATAGATGCTAAAGAGGTTGAGTTCGATGCCCCTGAGAAGCCGAATGTAATCTCCGCTCCAATGCCAAAGCATGGTCGCAATGTCCATGATGTTGAAGAAGATCTATTTGTTTCTACTGTTGATGATCTGATAACTCCACTACTAACAATCAAGTTGAATCTGTTGAAGGCTGGGATTTTCCCAGGTTGTAAAGAAGATTGCTACCTTTGTTCCTCCCTACCGATCGACTGTCCATTGCTGAAGATAGGCATCCAACGCCTAATGGACAACCAACAAATTCTTTTCGAAAAAACTCCTATTACTCCAACTCCTATCAATGAAGTTTCAATAATAACCATTTCCGCCAATCTTTCCAAGGTCCCCAAAAGGCCTGTTAAGATTACATTCGCTCCGAAGATTGTACCCTTGAAGATAACCATGCCTGGGCCCGTCCCATACAAATCTGACAAATCGATACCGTAGAATTATGGTGGAGAAATCTACTACCATGGTGTTAAACAAATTGAGATAACTGAAGAGAGCTCTAACAAAGAAACTGCCGACATTGGAAACATTGCCGGTACGAGCAAAATTACCCGAAGTGGAAGAATTTTCTCTCCAGAGATTGCCCCTCCAAAGGAAATCTTTGGACCCTCAGCTGCTCCCAAGGTTACCCCTGCACCAGTAAAACTATCTGCAAGAACGCCAATGATCATCCCCGAAACCTCTAAGAAAGAAATGGAGGAGATTTTGAAAATAATTAAGAAGAGTGATTACGATGTGGTGGAGCAACTGGGGCAAACCCCCTCGAAGATCTCCATGTTGGCCCTGTTGCTTTGTTCGGAGGCTCATGCCAAAGCTTTGATAAGGTTTTTGAAGACAGCCCATGTGCCCCAGGAAACCTCAGCCGATCAATTCCAAGATTGTGTAGCCAGCCTTACCGCCGACAACGGCCTGGGTTTCTATGATGTTGACCTGACTCCGAAGGGAAGAAAGCACAATGACACACTGCATGTGTCAGTTGAATGCCGAGGAACCAATCTCGCCCATGTCTTGGTCGATACTGGTTCTTCTCTAAATGTGCTGCCTAAGAAGGCTCTGGACCGGTTGGATTGTGAAGGCTTGGAGCTGAAACCAAGTAATATCATTGTCAGGGCCTTTGACGGGTCTAAAAGAATGGTGCATGGGGAGGTCGACATTCCCATCAAGGTAGGCACTGAAGTGTTCCACTCCACATTCTATGTGATGGACATCCGCCCATCATACTCTTGCTTGCTAGGAAGGCCGTGGATTCATAATGCTGGGGCAGTCACTTCCTCTCTACATCAGATGCTGAAATACCCTGTTAAGGGAAAAATCATAATTGTACACGGTGAGGAAGAGTACATGATCAGTCATCTGAATTCCTTTCGGTATGTGGAAGTGGATGGCGAATTCATCGAAACACTGTTCCAGCACTTTGAGCAAGTTTCTCCCGAGGTGGCAGTAGCAAAGGCAGTAGCTGAGGTACCCAAGCAGGTGGCCAGGATGGCATCTCTGAAAGACGCAAAGGCTGCAATGAAGGAGGGGAAGAACACAACATGGGGACAGTTGCCTGACTTTCCCCACAAGACAGACAAGTTTGGGTTAGGGTTCACCGCTGCGGGGCAAAAGGCTATGCGTCGCTCAAAAATTGAAAAGACACCCATCAAGATTTCTCCTCATGGAATCAATGCTTTGGAAGACTAAGACGAAGAGGGTAACATTGAAGATTGGATCTTCCCAACCATTGAAGGGGGACTGCACAACTGGGAGGCGAAAGACTTCGTTCCCATTACTTTCATCAATCAGTAATTTATCTTTCGAACATTTCCTGTTGGTCTGTAATAATTACTAAAACAATCTGCACACTATTTTTCACCTCATGCCTTGCCCGGGGCATGTAGGTCCATTTTTAAGGGTTTTGATTCTCTTCATAATCATATGCCATGTTTAATGAATCATTGGACGTTTTTCATTTATAAACTGCTGTGTTCATTTTCTTTCCTTTTGCATTTTTGTTTGTTTAAGGATGGTTATCCCTTACACACACCCACACTCACAAATGCAGGTACCCATCCACTCCGGATTCCATGGGTGACTATTCTGTTGTATCCTTCAATAACTCTGAAGATTTGGTCAATCAGGCTGAGTGCGAAGACGACGAAGATTGTGAAGTACCGGGAGAGCTAGCCAGACTTCTACAACAAGAAGAGAGGGCCATCTTACCTCATGAAGAGTTGTTGGAAACTGTTAACTTAGGAACAGAGGAAGACAGGAAAGAAGTCAAAGTGGGTGCCAATCTGGAACCAAGTGTCAAGGAGCGCTTAATACAGTTGTTAAATGAATACGTTGAAATCTTCGCCTGGTCCTATGAAGACATGCTAGGGTTAGACACAAACATCGTGGTTCACCGTCTCCCTACAAGAGAGGATTGTCCACCGATCAAGCAAAAAGTCTGCCGAATGAGGCCCGACATGTCTGAGAAGATTAAAGCTGAAGTAATGAAGCAATTCAATGCTGGCTTTCTGGCCGTTACATCCTATCCACAATGGGTTGCTAACATCGTGCCAGTACCTAAAAAAGACGGCAAGGTCAGAATGTGTGTGGACTACCGGGATTTGAACAGGGCCAGCCCTAAAGATGATTTTCCACTACCACATATCGACATTTTGATTGACAACACAGCTCAGCACAAAGTATTTTCTTTCATGGATGGATTCTCGGGCTACAACCAGATTAAAATGGCCCCCGAGGACATGGAGAAAACAACCTTTGTTACACAATGGGGTACCTTCTGTTACAAGGTGATGTCGTTCGGACTGAAGAACGCAGGGGCAACCTATCAACGCGCCATGGTAGCTTTGTTTCATGATATGATACATCATGAGATTGAATTTTACATAGACGACATGATAGCTCGATCATAAATGGAAGAGGAACACCTTGAACATTTGCAAAAGTTGTTTTCCAGGTTGAAGGAATACAAACTCAGGCTGAATCCGAGTAAGTGCACTTTTGGAGTTAGGTATGGTAAACTTCTGGGATTTATTGTCAGCAACAAAGGCATTGAGGTCGATCCAGCAAAATTAAAGGCTATACAAGAAATGCCTTCCCCCCATACTGAAAAGGAGGTTAGAGGATTCTTGGGACGCTTGAACTATATCGCCAGGTTCATCTCTCACCTGACGTCTACCTGTGAGCCAATTTTCAAACTATTAAAGAAAGATCAGGTAGTCGAATGGAACGATGATTGTCAAATTGCTTTTGATAAGATCAAGGAGTATTTGCTAGAACCTCCTATTCTGATGCCACCCGTCGAAGGAAGGCCGCTGATCATGTATCTGACTGTTTTGGACAACTCAATGGGGTGTGTACTGGGCCAGCATGACGAGTCTGGTCGAAAAGAGCATGCCATTTATTACCTTAGCAAAAAGTTTACCGATAGTGAGACCCTCTACTCACTGCTCGAGAAAACTTGCTGCGCTTTGGTATGGGCTGCTCGCCGACTAAGGCAGTATATGTTGACTCATACCACTTTGTTGATTTCCAAAATGGACCCGATCAAGTATATCTTCGAGAAGCCTGCTTTATCTGGAAGAATCGCTAGATGGCAAATGATCCTGCTTTAGGCCGTGGGTCAAGACCAGAGAGCTACAGGTACACCTGGGGCAACAGAGCACTCACAGGCGGGGTCGGGGCAAGGGCAGCACGTCACGGAAGTTCTCAGCTTAATCTTATCGACGCTATATCTTGGGTGCGCGATATGGTGGGACTGTCTAGCACAGAGACCCCCAAGCATCCCTGAGTTACAGCAGCTGCCGGAGGCAACGCAAATCGGGGAACCGACAAGTTCTTCCGCAGAAGTCAGGGAGCTAGTAGACCACCTCAGTGAGCAAGCCAGGGAGGTGGCAAGTGAAGCTTCAATGGAAAGAACACCCAGAGCTCTTGCAATGTGGATGGCTGGGCTAACGCTAGCATTCGCTATCTCCATAGCGCTTGCTCAAAAGGTCCGGGGTTATACTGGTTATTAAGACGAGCCTGGAATTTATGGGAAAAGGTATACTACGCAAGAAGAGCTCCTCCCCCCTAGATCTTTGCTTAGGAAAAAAAAAGTCGAGTAGTCGTAATTCGAAAAAAATGAAGGTGGGGTTGGGCAGTAGCACCGAGATCTCATAGAGGAGGCATTTTGATCGCGGGCTCCCTTTTAGATGTGGATTTAGGTGGTTTTTTTTATGCAAGACGAGTGAAATGGGAAAAGAAAGGTGGAGGTTGACCTGCTTTGTGACAGATGTGGAATTGAGCCTGAATCTACCATTCATGTTTTAAAGGGCTGCCCTTGGGCATATGGCATTTGGCTACTCTGCCCATTAGCCCTTCATACTCAACAGATGCAGGCTCTCTCTCAGATTGGGTGAAGGAGATGGGGAAGTGTCTTGATGAAGAGCAGCTGGAACTGATGCTAGTAGTTGCATGGGCTTTATGGAGTGATAGAAATTTGCTACTGTTCCAGGACATACAGAACTATCCTGTGGATGTGGTGAACAAAGCAATCAGCTTCTTCTAATAGTATAAGAAGGAGAAGCTACAAATTGTGCAAACACCTATTGGCAGGCCCCACCCCTTGGTGTTTATAATTTTAATACTGATGCTGCTATTTTTAACCAGCAAGGGATTGGCTGCTTGCTTCATCCCGCCCTTCCTTCCCTCACCTGTCCCACGCGCTCTTTGATGCCGAAAATCCTATGTTCTGAGTGACCATGAACACACTGCTTGAGACCCTTCTTTCTTGTGAATGGGTACGAAAGAAAGAAATTCTTCGCATCACTCCTTCCTTGGATTAGTAAACTACTATCGATAATTCGTGGAGGGTTCTTCAAGGGCCCTGACTGATAGGAATCAAGGATGAGTCTCTACATCTATCTTATATTTGTTCATTTAGGATTAAAAAGGCTTTAGGAAGACAATGAGATCTCAGACTTTCCTGAAAGCTTAGTAAGGGATTCCTAAGTCGAATAGCCTTATTAAATTCAATTATTTTTTAGTGAATACCCGAAAGAATGGACAACCCACGGAGTCACTCTGTCCTTAAAGACTCATGTTATCGTTCACGCTTCCCGGCCAGGGATTCAATACCTAAAAGGGAGCTACATGTCTACTATTTATTCATACTTTAGAAATGAAGGACTCTCTATCCTGAGTTACTCAACCAGACCCGGACCTTACTCATACTTACTTCCCGGTACTCAAATCCGCTATTTCTCAACCGGACTCGAAGAAAGTGGTCTAACCATTTCAAAGTCGAGGAATGGAAGAAGATTGCAAAGACTCGAGAACAGAAAGGGCATTGGCATCGGGGCTAGAAAGCAAGCAAGCAAGAAAGGAAAGCTAGAGAGAGATAGCCCTTTTCTAAAGTATATATAACCATTCTAAAGGCTTATAATCAAACAGACTCTCAAACCATAAGGCATGGGGTTCGCTTGAAAGTTAAATTCATGAGCTTGTTAACGGTACCTGGGCACCTCTTGCTAGTTGTTCTACCGCCATCTTTGATGGCCTGTAGCTTGATTTTGAACAGAGAAATTGCTTCTTTCTATTAAAGGATAGACGAGCACACGTACGCGAAAGAAATCCAAGGAAAGAGCGACAAAAGCTTTTTCTCTTTTATTTAAAGAAGTAGATTCCATGAGGATGGATGCCCAATGGAGAATAAGATGTCAGCTGGGGGATTCAAGCTCTATACCTTACCTCTCCCAAAGGGCAAAGAAAAGGCCTATAATCAACGCAAAGGGGAGCTCTAAGGATAGGATACAAGCAGGGATAGAAAGATAAGAAAGAAAGGAAAAGGTTCATTAGCTCCATAGTTGCTAACAGGTAGGGGTTGTTACTGGTCCGCAGATGAACTTAATCTCTCAAGTTGTTGAGCAGGAATGGGAACCTAGCAGATGCACTCATAGCTGATGCTAATGATTTATAACATTGAAAAAAATATAGTATAGAAAACGACTCCAAAAAAGTAAAATGCAAGAGAGGTTGCTAACTAGGTTTTCGGGTCCTGACAAAGGATGGAAACCGGCTTTCCTTAATCCCGATAAGGGTGCGGGAGGAAAACAGCCAGATCTATGTCTGATAGATGGGGAACTACCAACCTCCACAGGAGCCGCTAGCTCTCTTATGAAATAAAGTCCCGGATGCAGTAGAGCTAAAATATCACCGGAGGAAAAAACTTTCATTCTTCCGTCTTGAAAGCGAGTGAGCAAGCCCCATCCTCTTGGGAGTTTCCAACCTAGTCCTAAGGGAAGGGTTTGCGGGTAGGCAAACTAGAAGCAACAAAGCCGATTCTTATCTTAAGTTTAGGTACCCGACCAGTAGTATGACCTAATCGATTTAGTTAACTTCATAAAGATACAAAATGCCTTTCAATTCAGGGGAAGAATATATGACAATTGAACTGAAAACTTAAATCTTAGTCTCAAGGGAAGTTAGTACTTTCATCAGCCGAAGAAGGCTTAATATGATCAATAGCTTGATTTAACTCCAGCGAGCCATAGAGCAGCTTTTAGGTTCCCAAGCGGTAAAGACCATACAGGAGTTTAATGCTCACGGAAATTCCCACTTGCTTTGCGGGAATTGAAAGCCTCTTTGCTATACTAGCACTTGACCAGTGAGTGAGCCTAGACTCTTTCTATTCGAGTGAGTTCCACTTCTCTTGAAGCGTAATACCCTTACTGCTAGTTTCCTATTCCCAATTGTAAGGGTTAGCTTTCTATCTCTCTTAAAGAGGGTCCTCGTAGCGCTTTCCTCTCACTGTTATTGCTCGGTACCCTAGCTAGATTAAAGTTCTCCTCCCCATTCTTTTAATTGTAGCAATGGATCCGGAACAAATTCTGACCGCTTAACCACACTACACTCAGATTTATTCAGTCGGAAGACTGCTATTGAATTAGCGCTTTCAAAGGGCGACTCCACTGCTATTGATAAGTGCAGCTAACCTCTTGTTAGCAGCTTCTCCCGTCTTTCGATCAGACTCTGAACACGAATTATGTCAGAAATCCGCCGTAGGCTGGGCTCTTCCCCTATAGTATTAACCAAGAAGCGCCTATATAGTTCGCTTTATCGTTCGCTATCTGGTAATAAGGGGTGGGTTAATACGGGTATCTCTGGGGCCACGAGGGGAACTTCAGGAGCATCAATGACAGGTGCTGGGGCATTGTTGCCTACTGTAGGCGGGGACAGTGGTCCGTCCACTCCCACCCCATCGCACGACGCTATAACCAAAAAGTGATCCCCCCACAAAAGATAATGGTACCAAAAGGGGAGTCAGATGATGAGGAGATTCCCACGTATTAAAGAGTGGGTTGAAGACGAAACTAGTCAACACATTCTAATAATACCGATAAGAGAATGGAGGAACCCAATGATGGAACTAAAGGGGAGGGGAACTATACCGGAGTTTACAGAAGCAATGCGGAGATAGCGGACTGAAATCCCATTGTGGAAGGTGACCGAAAGAGTGCATTTTTTGGAATGGAAGCTAAGAATGAAGAGGGGTCAAGTACTTTTAGCGCAAATACGAAAACCAGCCGCAGCAAATGCTAGTCAGATACCGTACATTCTAGGCCAAAAAGTAAAAAGTTAGAATAAACAAAGAGAATCACAAAGGAAAGGGAAAGGCAGAAAGAAGAGGCGGGATTCCTTTTCACAGCCCTTTACGTAGCGTGATGATCTCCTCGGGGGCTTACTTAGCCCCCATCCCCATTGTCAAGTGATGGAAGATCAGACTAGAGATCAAGCACATCGGACAGTATCTGAAGGGTTATCTTGGTATCAGATCAATTGAATTAGCTAGCCTAACCAAGGGATCAAGAAAGGTAAGACCTACACAAATAGAGCGAGCGAGTCTTCCAGTGAAGCAAGAGTATACACAGTAGGTTCCATTGGAGAAGGAGATCACAAGCCGAGTCTCTCCGCGGAAGCCGTGGGAATTTCCTTTTTTACAAGTCTGGAAAGAAAGTTGGGACATAGGCTTCCTTTCCTAATTCCAATCATGACATCGGTAATCCCACATCCTGAGATAAAGCCAGTCTGATTCACGTGCAGAACCTTTTTGTCCAATTGCTTAAAGCTATGTCAAAGAAGCATTATATTCCCGAAAGTGCGGATTTGAGCCTAAGACAACTGGGTTGACTTACAGGGGTTATTCTCGTATGGATGTAACTTTTTTTTCGCTAGTTTGTCCCGTAGTTCAAGCGTGAAAAAGAAGTGCCACTAACCTTCCCTTCTTTCGATTTCGAGTAGGAGTTCAAACTAGGTATTCTGCGATAGGAGATAATATAGGAGTTTATAGAGTTACATCCAATTCTCCAACAATTCTCGTAGAGTGCTGTTCGAAATAGCTCTTTTGCACTGTAAGGTTTTGGGCATCGTACGAACCCTAGTCGAAGGTTCCTCTGCACGAAAGGCAATCGAGCTGCGTCCCGGAGAAATCTGACCCGATTCTTGCCACTCTCGCACAACACAAAGCCATCTTACGTTAAACCTAACCGGTGGCGTACTTTGAGGGGAGAGTACTCCCGTGCTCCCATACTGGTGTGGACCGTTCTTGCCTATTGGAATCTCTGGCTTCCGGTCTGCTTTACATGGATCCCTCGTTTGACTGCTTGTTCTTGAGCTTCATCTCCCTCCATTTTACTATAGTCTGGGGAGTTTATTGGAAAACCTTTTCTAAATTTTAGTCTTCTTTTTTTATTTCATATACCCGCTCAATGGAAATTATGGGATTCCATATATAATTTAAATATTTCCCTACAAAGCAGCTCTCTTGAACATGAATCACCTCTTCCCATTGATTTTATCCTTGTCAAAATGAATGAAGTTAAAGCCATACCCGTTTCAAATTAAAAAATTTTTTTATAAATTCAAATGTTATAAGTCAGGAACGCTATGTGAATAGGGTCTTAAAGCCCTCACCCAGCAAGAAAATGTATGCGCGAGACTAAGGCAGGCTATAGGCTTTATAGCGTTAGGGCTTTAGTTTAATTGCAGAGAGAGGAAGGAACGATCTCTAAAATGGGATTCAGAGTCGGGTGACTAGTGGTGCGGTGGATAATGACGAGCGTGACTGGCGTTTGTCCCATACAGAATAACTTATAGTGGAAGTGAGGCGAGGAGGCAATAGATTCATCTTGTCATGGAAGATAGACATGAAGGATAAGGCTTTGTAAGAGTGACCGGAGGAGCTAATAGTTTTAGTTTAACCGCCCATGCCGATCTGCCAACTTTCAAGGACTTACTTTCTGCTGACACCTAGTTGTTTCCTGCGGCTCGTCTCACGACTGGGTCAAAGCGGGGTCCAACCAATCTACGCATAGAATAAAGCAATCGACAACCGAAACAAGATAAACCGCTCGAAAAAAAGTAAATCACTCTGATAGCACAGGCCCTGTTTAAGCTTCGATCAAAGCAATCAGGTATGGTGGCTTAGGAGTTTGAGTCGTATTATCAATCTTAGCCAGCATGAAAAGGGCAGAACCTAATCAACAAAAAAGAATAAACGAATAGAAAGAGGGGGTTTACCTATGAATGTAGTTCTTCTTTAGTCATTCCCTAACCTTTTCTCATATTAGCGTAAGCTACTGTTGTACCCCAAAATTTGCCCTCCCATATTCTTCAAGATTTGCCAAGATCAATCTCCAGATGATTCAAAATCACTCAAGGGTTACACAGTCCAATTGCCTCCTAACACAGTCAAAATTAGGGTTTTGGTTCTGGCAAAGAAATTGAAGTTTTCAAGGGTCCAATCAAGTCCCACATGCCTACATACATTGTCAAGCATCCATATGCCAAGTTTCAAGACTCACAGCATCAAATTGCACAGTCAAAAACCCTAAATGCTTCACAGTCAAATGCAGGGGCAAAATGGTCATTTGACAGTCAAAAGTCCAAATTTTTGGTCAACATCTTATTTTGAAGCCACAAACATCATTTGATCAATTCTTGATCATGATTCTCAAAGTATGGCTCAAAAAGTCTCAAGATGCAAAAGTTTCTATTTTTGGACAGTTGAAAAGTCAACTGCAAATTGACCAGGGCATAACTTCCTCATGGTTTATCAGAAAAATTCCATCCAAAGCTCATTTTGAAGAGGATGACATTTCCTACAACTCATCTTTGCACTCCAAGTCCAAGAAATGCTCTCACAAAAAGTTATCAATTTCAACATTATAGGTCATTTTCAAAAGTCAACAAAAAGGCACTTTAAGTCAAAGATCATAACTTGAGATTGGTAAATAAAAATGACATGGGACCAAAGGCATTGGTTAGAGGACTTCAAGACCTTTCCAAAATGTCCAAGAACATGTTCATAGCTTCAAAATTGAGCAAGATATGCCTTGGAGAAGTTGGGAAAATTTTGGGAATTTTGAAAAGTCAACTTTGCCTCAAACACTTCAAAAATGCTAATGGGCCTCAAATTCTTCCTTGAATCATTATCCAAAGTGTAAGTGCCTTCGTTTGGGATTGGCTCATCTCTTGTAAAACAAATAGCAACAATAATGTAATGTAATGTACAATAGGAACAGCCTGAAAATTCTATTGTAAATGCCTAAACATGCTCTGGAACAACATGTCTCAAGAGATGTCATAACATCATACCAGACATCAAGCTACTGAACTGTCAAGACTGATGCAGTTCTGTTCCTAAAGTTATGCAGAATATTCTGCCAAATAGAATGCATAACAAGTAGCGAAAATTGAAGGCATACGTGGAGCCCTAGAAGATTCAATCAGAAGCTAAGGATAAGGAGAAAAGCTCGATTGAAGACCTAACTTGTAGCAGAAGTTTTCTGCTTATTTTATGCAGGTTGTTAGAGCTGCATTGCTGTTATGTGAAGGCCCAAATCCAGCTGGGTAAAGAGGGTTATAAATAGAAGCATTGTAACCTAATTTAAGAGTGTTCGTGGATTGACAAGATGTAATGATTTAGGGCTAGTTTTGTTGTGTACCACCCGGGCTGTGGGATGGTCACCATACTCCTTGAAACCTGTAGGTAAAAGGATGTATGCATTGTACTTGATTGAAGCTTTTAAGCATGATTAAGATGTGTAATGGAAGTGTATCTTCTGAACAGTTTATGTACTGTAGAAAGTTATCACTGCGGTGATTGAGGGGGAGTGAGAGGGGTCTCATATCTAGGATTGGATCTTAGGTAAAAGTGTCATTGGGTAGTGATTAA